GGACCTTTATGAATATTAGTGGCGGGAGGGCAACCCTGTTCCTGAAAGATGATGCTCCTATAAAGCTAAACTGCATTCTCGATTACGTGTAGAGGGGAATGTATTTTCTCACCATAACATAACAGTATGACGGCGTAGCAAGTGTCCTGTTATGTTTTTGTATTTCCTGTGTCATGAGTTCAACACAAGACCCAAGAGACTGTCCTACATGGAACCATTACCTCTAGACATCTTTCATTCAGTGTTTTGGCTAGGCTCAGGCATCTAGACTACTTGGTTAGGTTTAGGAAAAAGCCGCAGTTTTCACCCTTTGTGCGACGCGTTTGAAGCTTCTCCTCCATTTCCTGGGTTACAGGGTCGCGCCCCATTTATTGTATGACTGGTTTATTGAAAAGCAATACAATAAATGGCAAATGTGTTGTGATACATCACAAAGCAAACATGACCTGGGTGACAGCATGTTTCCCCCCGAAAATGTAATCGAGAAAGCAGTTTAGTCGTAGGCCTATAGGAATGTGTATTGTTTCGTAGATGGGGCTCAGCAGAGAGGAGGGCGGAATCTTATATTTCATTTTGCAAAAAGCAAAATCTTCCACATCATATTTAATATTGTCTTTGGAACCTCTCCTTCACCTAGAAAATCAGATTACACACCCTCATCCCCATATCTCTGGATATTTATGGAAAATATAGCAACGTGTTGAATAATTCAGCCGCATTCTCTATTTTTGAGTCAAGAGCGTATAAATTAATTCCTCTCCTCTCTCTCCCTCGAAAACGTTGAAGCCTTTTTGATGACTCATCTCCTCCAGTTTCTGTTTCACTGTAACTTTAAATATGAAAACAGTTTTTTGAACTATTTCAGCCCCTAAATGAGGAGGATGGATGGAACAATCCAGCTGCACCTTTTAAATTCTGAGTTATCATGAGACTCACATGTCTACCTGGAGAACAGAAGCTTATAATATGCAAAAAACATGTTCCCAACTCCATCAATGAGAGTAATTCAGGACTAATTAGCATTCTATCTGGTGAGGGATTCTCAATAATTATTTCATTGTCCTCTCCTGGGCTTTTCCCAGCAAGTCACTTCAGAAACTTCAGGGCTCTATAGTTTAATCTATAGAGGTTCGGATGATGTATTCGCTTCCATCAGCCTAATTAAAAACGCTGTAGCCTTTCTGCAACAGCCCTCTTCTTTTCTGCATCCATCTGCTTGTCTCGTCTCTCCCACCTTCAGGTTTGTGTCTCAGTTTCTCGCCCACACAGACTGATTCCTGCTCACATCCAGAGAAGAGAAAAAAAAAAAAAAAAAAGTGAGGCAGAGGAAGGCCTGTCTCTCCTCTCAATTGTACACCACTTTAGATTTTCACCTCGAATTTCATTGAGACCCCCATCACGTCATGTTCTCAGCTCGTCATTTCTCCCCTTCTGAGAAGAGCTTTTCACTGGTTAAATGCAGCACTTGATAGGTTAGGTGCCTGGTGAAAATCGCAAATCCAAGTCCTTCACTGAACTTGATCACCGCTGAGATATCATCTTATCCTGCCCCGCGCTCTCATCACTTCAGCGATGCGTCTGTCTGCCCATTTTGCAGGGACGTGATTGCATCCTGCACTCAGCTATTTCTAGCAGTTGTGTATCTCATGGGCATCGTGTGTGTGTGTGTGTGCGCGGTCGCGTACATCTTCATCGTGCGTGGGTGTGAGTTCGCATGTGAAAGCGATGCACAGCAGAATGTATGCATGAGTTGCGAGTGTGAAAGCATAAAGCTGACCTTCAGAGTCGGGCTGTCTGCTTCCAACTGACCTTTTTTCCCTGATGGAAGACGCAGGGGTCAGGATGTGTACTCTCCAATTCCCAGGGATATGGCATTTCCATGACAACAGAAGCAAGACTGTTCAATTTTTTTTCTTAGGTGTTGCCTCCTCCCGTTTCCCCGAGAGGATTTTAGACCGAACAGTTACCCCAAACTAGTCAATCGCACCATCAAGTGAAACAAAGCTCGCCTTCATTACATATTCCAGCCCAGATCACCTCAACATGCATATATTCAGGGGATAATGTCCTCTTTGGGATGCTCAGGAATTCATCGCAGGGTAAAAATCAGTGCCATGTCTTAGCAATTTGGTGCTGGCATATGTTACTAGTCATCACTGAATGACTTTATCCTTATTTACTCTTTGCAGATAACTAGTAAAAAAAATATTAATTACAATAATGTAAATGAACTGTTTGCCTGCAGCACTGTTGGCAATAGTGCCTGCACAACTTATGAAGCCAAAAACGATCCCTGTCTATCCCTGACTATCTTATTTGCAGAATTTTCTCTGATCAGACAGAAGAGGCTCGATGATCAAAGATATATGTTACATTTGTAATTGCATAATTCATATTTCTGTCAAAGGAAAACATCAACCCAGCTCTCGTCCAACTCTCCCTCCCATGTGATCTTCTGTACTTACTGCATCGTAGTATGTATTTCACCAAAATAAGAGAGTGTGAAAGCAGAGACAACCTGCCAAGTGTTTTTTTTTTTTTTCTTCCCCTGTCTCCCTCTTGCTTGCTTGTTTCTTCCTTGTGCTTTTTTTATCATCACAACAGGTCATTTTATTCAGATACTCAGACAGGTCCTTCTGCTCTTTGTCTTATTGTGTTTAGGGTTTTGCCAGATTGATTTTGTCAGCCTCGCTGTTGGGCGAAACACAGCTTATTCTGGTTCAGCCACTGTGACCAAGCTTAGCGCTCAGCCTCCCCAGACTGCTGTCATCAGCACAAGCCGTGGCGCTACATCAGTGCCGTAATCGATCTGCCACCATGTCCTCTCGGAGAATTCTCTCACACCACAACACGAGTCTCTGTCTCCCACTCTCGTCCTTCTCCTTTCCCCGCCTCTTTTTTTTTTCTGTGTGTGCTTTATAATTAGCTAATTATTTGATTGTGTGCACCAGTCGTGGATAAATATTAGCAGTGTACACAGAGGCTGACTGGGGCAGACAGTGTGCGAATGAGCCTACATGTTTGTCTGGTTGAAGGAATTTCCCTGCATCTCTCATCAGTTTTTGATCTCGAGCAGAATACCAGTACATTAAAGAACTGCTTTTTTTTTTGACGCTATCTGATATTGCGGTTCCATGATTGCAAACCTTAAGTAAAAGTGCCTTTTTAACCATACTCAGCTCACCCAATTCCCCAAAGCGGATCTTCCTTTAACAGACTCTTCTCAAAACTGCGATGATATCTCTAAATTACTTTTGAGATGACCTTGAGGAAATTCAAATCACATTTGAATGTTTCCCTTTCCGGCGCAATTGGAAAGCATTTGGCTCGTCAAATTTTGAGCGACATCAAATGTGCCACAGGCGGTGGGAGCTGCCACCTTAGCAGTCAGTTCACTTGCTGCCACAGGACACACAGTGAAGCCACCTGCTAATGAGAACAGACACCCCTGCTGCAAACATAATTAGAAGGTGGGAAATCTATTCCAACTTTTGGAAACTGCTCAGATATTCAGTGTGATGGTTTGAAGACACATATTTGACTCTAATGACCATCTTGGTCTAAATTTACAATATTCTCTGCCCACACAGACGACGGTGATAGCTGAGCACATTTACCTGACAGCTGTGATTGAATTAGATTAAAATATGACACCTAGTATGATGTAGGAAACAGGCTTGCAAAACAAGTAACTAAGGATATTCACCCTTCTGGGCAATGAAACTGAATCCATTAATATTCTGTGGTTGAAGGCAGAAGAAGAATTCCTCATAGAGCTCTTGTATAATTATGAAGAAATTTAAAGAGACGCCCAGAAGTCTTAAATGCGAGAGCAGAGACGTGGCAGTCAGACCTCTCAGTCATTTGTTGAAGACGGATGTGCTGTTGTTGTGTACAACTAGAATGCGACATTGACTTAATCAGCCGTATGTCGTGTTGGGGAAGACATGTTGGGAGAACACTGTTAACCTCCTGTAGTGATCAGAATACAGTATGGATTTATTCCTCCCAAACTGTTGTTTGCTGGCGTTGTACATTCTATAACACCAAAAAGGTTGGAAAATGCTTCTTTTTTTTTTGCACATGGTTTGCCCCCGTCCTGCCTTCTATTTTTTGATGTCTCTTGAGAGAAAAAATGCTCATTACAAAACACTTCGCACCCTTTTCCTTCTTCCTCTTTGCCTGTCTTCATGAGGCATCCCCAGGGTGACTCCTTCACTTAGATGCAAAGAGTAGCAGTCCTCCACATCTCTCTGCACTTATCTCTTTTCTTCCAGCCCTGAACTGAGCATCCATTGTCATTGTTCGTGTTCGCTGCTCATGCTGGTTACAATGTGAACATTATTAGTATTAGTCCTTGAATGTATTCATCGACCTGCCACATCATATTGTACTCGCAATTTAACACAACTTTGTTCAAAATATAATTTGATGTAGCATGTGCTAGGGGAAAAAAATGCCATTAAAATGTCATTTTCTGTTATGCCTCTGGTGTTTTTTTTGTCCAGCAACTTTTGTTTTATTTCAAATAACCAATCAGCAATACGAGTCACACACATAAAGAGCACAGGATAGTGGGTCATGAACACAGTTGATTTCACAATTCGCTGCTACACAGATAAAAATATATCTAAAACCTTTTAAGCGGGGGTTAAAAAAGGATATTTGCTACAATGATGGCTGCATGTTAAACACATTTGTTGCTCTTTCTTACAGTTTCCTCTGTTGTCTTTTATTTCAGACTAAAGAGACCTCCATCTCCCTCAAAGACCATCAAAGACAGCTTTGCTAAATCACAGTAAATGCAAGACAAGCGGTGAATTGAAGTGAAACAGATTTCATGAGATGACAATTCATCCCTGCATTATTCAGCTGAAGGGCCGTCATCACGTAGACCCTGAAGAGGAAAGAAAGAGAAGGAAGCAGCTTCAGTAACTCCATAAATGGCCTCAGCACCCTGCAGGTGTCTCTGAGTGTGCCTAAAAAAAAATCAGTCGGACATGAGTGTTCCAACTAGTTACCAGGGACTGAGGGTCAATGTTGACAGAGGAGAAAAGATTGGAAGTAAAACCCAGATCCAGTTCAGTCAGCCTGGAGATGATAACGCCAATCAGTTGTCTTCGATCAGTAATCAAGAAGGTAGAGATTTGGTTGAAGACTCGGGGTACAGCGCAAGCTCCATTCCTCCTTTAGTTTCTCAGAGTGAATCCCCAGACAAGTTAGTAATCTGGGGCTCAGAGCAGCAATGCATGGAGCCTGACCTCAGACAGTTTGAGCTTTTGGAGCGGCAGGAGATACATACATTCTTGGGAAACAGAAGTCAGGAGGAAAATGAGGAGGAAGACGATGGAGGAAGTATAAGGGATGAAAAAGATGAAGGTCCCATGTCCATTTCCTCCAGTTCAACTGCCAGCTCTGCTTCGACTGGCGTGCGAAGAAATGACAACGACAGCAACAAAGTGGAGAGCAGAATACAGAGGGGCAAAGAGGTGCAGAAAAGGATTGCCTGTCATAGCACTGAAGAGCTTGACACATGTGTGACGGGTTCAATTGAGAAAAGGGACACCAGGTCAGGCAGGGAGAGACGGAAGGGAGGTCTGAAGGAGTCCAAGTCTGAGACAAATGTGTTTGTCTCCAGTCTGTCAGCTGTAGCTCTCAGTGGCAGCTTGTCTAGTGCTTTGGATAGTAGTGGAGAAACAACTCTCGTCTCTATGTCCAAGACCAACCCTTATCCCAATACCAACAACACTACCTCAGCCCACACCAGAAGAAGGGCAGCCCCTCTAGATGCCAATCAGAATTCTCCACCAACGCATGTTCAAGAAAAACATGGCTGTCCTCAATACTGCAGCCAGGATCAGAGAAATGAGGAAGGAAGTCATCACAGAAATGGATTGTCCTCTGATGGGGGGGTGGGTCAAAGGAGAAAGGCTGGATTTGACGACAGAGTTCTGCCCCCACGACGGCAACAGCTCGTCAGACCTCTCTGTCAGACAGAGATGGGAAGGTCAAGGAGCTTAGCAGAGGCCCATTCTCATCAAATCGAGACAGTTACGCCCTCATCCCTTCACCATTCTCCAGATTCACACAGTAATGGGTCAAACAGGAAGTTTACAAGATCATCTTTACGTGAACCATCGGATTTCTCCCATCTCTACAACACATCCATAGTCTCCCAGCTTCGACAGCCCGGCCAGGCATCCCAGAGGGAGGCTTCACCAGCGGATAAACAACCAGCAACAACTGCACGGCATAGCTCCAGTCCATCGAACCCTTCCACCTTAGAGAAGAGACCCCAGACTCAGCTCACATATAGAAGAAACTGCTCCAGTCCCAACAGGACTGGCGTTGACTCCAGGTCATCTACGCCTCCCCACTCCCCTCTCAGGACACCCCAGGGCTCACCACGCAGGCAACCCTCCATGTACCTCATTTCCAGGAATGTCTCTGGAGTGGTTCGACACATCCCATCAGGATGCAACCCTGCTGTACCAACATCAGCTCAGGGCTATGGCAACAGTTGCTTGAGAGCACCAGTCAAAACTAATATAAGCACAAGTGGAATCCCCAAAGCGCCTCTTAACAACCAGCAGAGCTCCCCCAACTCTAACCACAACTCCCCCAAAGAGAGCTCCCCATCACCCAAACTGAAGCCTAAAGGAGTTCGGCCCAAAATCATTACCTATGTCCGAAAGAATCCTCAGTTCAAGCCCCAGGCTTCTGACGGTCCTTATCAGGTATCTTCTCTACCATCCAGGCTGTCTACATACACCCACAGCCAAACACCCACATCCTTCAAAGACACACCTAAAGATCCCTCCAAGCCTGACGCAGAAACCCGAGGAGCCCCAGTACTTAGTGCCTCCAATCTGCTGTATGACAAGTACCGCCAAGAGATGCAAGCGAACAGTTTCCCGTCAGGAATGATGAGCAGGAATATCAGGGCTCCTGGACACACAAACACTGTCCCCCCTGCACACACACACAGCCACACTGCACCCCCGAAACTGGGCAGCAAAGCAGACAACTTCTACGGGACACCATCAGAGGTGAGCATTGTGTACAGGCCTTACCTTCTAAAAGAAATATTTATCACAAGGAGGAAGCTTATTTTGATCTCTGTTGAAGATGGACTTCTGTACTCATTTTCAGTCAACAAAGCATTATCTGACTTGCTGAGATCCAGTGCAGTCCACCATCCCAAGTACATTTACTCAAACAAGAAGAAAAGAATGAACTTTTAATGGTTCCTGCATCAATAAGCATTAGCTAATTACTGTAAAATATACAGTGTGTCGTATGCTGTATATTAAGTGCAAAGTCAAACCCCTTCTATTAATTTTGTTGACTCTGCATACCAATTTCTCCGGCTGATGCCCATTCCTTATATCACAGCTTATGTATAATTGATCACAGATCTTCTGCATTTTATTCCCACTCTCAGAAGAGCCGCTCATTATCTCTTTAAAATCATTCCTTATTGATTCTGATAAAATAGCTTCATTTGGCATTTATATTCATATGCCGTCAAACACGAACATGTGGAAATGAATAGTTAATGCTTGCTGAGGCACAAAGCCCACAGGGACAGGACAATTCTCAGTGCTTCATATGACATTTCATGTATGTTAGCATTTTGCATAGTACATGGTAACGCTGTTGAGAGACAGAACTCTATTAAACAGTTTACATTATGGATCTCAGTTTCCCTGCAGGGCTGTGTTGCATTTCCTTTTAGAGTTAATAAAGGCTGACTCGTTGTGTTATATGTTGCACTCACAATGCAGCAGAGTTCAGAGCTAAAGAAAACAATGCCGGCTTTTTGTAGTGTTTGCTATTCGATTACTGGGTCCATCAAATGCTTTGCACAAAATGAAACCCGTCATGGCAGCCAGACTTTGTTGTTAAACACAACAATATGTAAATGACTGCCAGTAGAAAATCCTACTTGGTTCCCATTTTACATACACTGTGTACAGTTCCTATAAAAAAGAATTCATCCCCGTTGGAGGTTTTCCCCTTTGTTTGCATTTCAACATAAAAGCATGATTCATTTAATTTGGCTTTTGTGACAGCAATTTACAAAAAAAGGATTATTTCATCCCAAAGTGAAAACATATTTTTACAATGTGAAGTCAGCATATGAAAACTAGAAAACATAAAATAAGTGATAGGTATAGGGGTTGGTATTCACCGGGTTTAAAGTGACTCATCTACTTCAACAAGCCGTCCTCAAAAACAGAGTGACTATATAAGAAAGAGATAAATGAGGGAGGCCACGAAGACAGCTATGACTACTTAGAGTGTTTTCAGGGTTTTTTTGGGGGGTAAATTCTATACAAAAGCAAAAATTATATTGACCATCTTTTGTTGAAAAGTAATAATCTGAGAGAACATCCAAGGGAGTGAATACTTGTTATAGATACGATAAATCTTTGAATCAATATTTAGTTGTAATCCCCATTTGAAATACTGTATTTCTTTTACCATAAGAAGAATTAACAGGGTCTTTTGGTATGATTTACCTGTACAATAATGACTTCAGAGTGAGACATCAGTTATCTTGAGGGCATTTTTAAGGTAGTTTATTCTTTTTGATTTCTAGGTGGGAAGATCCACCAGTTTTAAAGGCAGCTCTCCTGAAGATGCACTTCAGGCCAGGACGGCTGCTCAGGCTGGAGGGAGCGGCAGCCTCTTGCGCTCTGGCCGAGGTCTGCGTCTGGGCCTGGGAGCCGTCGCCAGGACGACTACAGGCTCAGCCAAGGGCCGAGGACCGAGTCAAGGCCAGAGGTCAACACTGGTCTTCAGCCAGCCAGTCCAACCTGTCAGCCCAGCGACCAGTCAGAAAGGCCAAGATAACACCGGTAAATTAAACATTTCTTCTTGTTATGTTTCTTAAACTGGATTTGCATTCCCACACAGATAGAATACCAGATGCAGACGGTTTCTTAGGAGCTACAGTATGTGTCAGATAGTATTTCAGCAAACCCAAAATTTTACAAGCTAGAGTGCAGGCTTATCTTTCTTCTCCTAGGCATCATCGGGCAGTTGTGGGACCTTCTCTCCTTCGACTTGGCCCAAGATGAAGGCGGCTCATTAAAATGCATTCTCTGAGATTAATTTTGGCTGATCTGATTGGGAGAGATCGTCCGAGGGGACTCATTTTTTGGCTGCCATCTACAAAACAAAACAAATAAATAACTGCTCACACTTTCTCTCTTCACACACTGCAAATTTCTAATTCAGATGATTCAGATACCACCACTGACTGTTTAACTCAGATTTATGCCGCTGCTCAACCGTCAATGGAATATCGTATGAGTATGACATTTTCTCATCACCCTGCACACTGCTGGAAGGCTATGCCGTTTATCGCCTCCACGCTTATTTGATGTGGTCTGTCCCCGAGTGTGGTGCTCACCCGGACACACAGTAGAAATACACAGAGACGTGCATATATACACTTACATGTGTATATGTGTATATATATATATATATACACACACACACAGCCTTAAAACTGTACACACAGAATTGATCAGCATAGTGTTATGATGTGCCAAGCTTCCTTATCATAATCCCTATTAATACATATGCATAGTGTCTCCGTGCTGCTTGGCCCCTCTGGGAACTGCAAGCTTTGAAGTGCAAAGCAATTAACGCTTAAGTAATGTCAGTATCTTCCTGCTGAAGTCATCCTTACCCGATGCACATTGCATGGATAAACACCGGTTAAAATACTGTTTAGTGTAGCATTGGTCAGCATTGTGTGTATCAGCGTTTGTCTTTGTATATAATCTAATTGAGGGATTTCCTGCTGGGCTTTTTTTTTTTTTTGCAGGTCGTATTTCTCATTCGTATTCTGGAGAAATCTGAGATGTAATCTTTCTTTTTCTTTTGTCCTGTTCTCGACTGCGAATTACAACTTTTTAGCCTTTTGTCAGTATGAATCACCTTTAAGTCTGTCATACACACATTAAAGCAATTACACTGTATAGCTATTGTACAGCTGTCAAACTGCTGTTCCTGTTCACATAATTACAGAGTAGATTTTAAGTTCTTCATTGTTATGATAATGAGGGCCGTCCACTTGCGTGACAAGACGTTTGCATTAAAGTCTGCAGTAACTTCTGCATGCTGAAGCTCTCATCCACCCCTTCTTTAAAGCCCATGCTTTGCTCCAGTAGCGCCAGTGAGATTGCAATGCAGTCAGGTATTAAATTTATTAGCATGCAATTTAACGCTTTGTGTAGGAAATTCATGTGGGTTGTCGCTGCTAACTTCTGGCTGTGATTAAAATCAGCTGGTCATTATAGTACTTTTCCCAGCTGTCTGTCCCATTGACTTTCCTGGACGTAATTTACATAATTAACCCAAAGTTAGGATGCTCTTGCTTTCTCTCATAGCTGATAAAAAAGTGGTTTTATTCAAATCCTTGGAGCAGAGGAAAACACCTGGGTGTCATGGTTTCTGAGCGCCACTTTATCTGGTAGAATGTATTGTTGCAGGTCTATTGTACGGAATGAAAAAGAGACGAATATAAAAGAAAGCACGAAGAAAGAGAAAAAAATAAGTTTGGAGAATAGGATACAGTGAAATGCAAGATGAGACAAGGACAGTCAATGTCATTTTAGAAAGCGAACCCTTGTTTCTTTTTTTTTGGTTGTTATGAATAATGTGTGTTTTCATTTAGCAGGAGCCTGTGTCTGTAATATCTAGGCTAAGGCGGATGTTTGCCAGGCTCACTTCTCTCCCTCGACTCTCAGAGGGGGACGCGTGGAGTAAGGAATTGGGGGGTTGGAGGGGGCAGGATGGAAATGAGGGCATTTATCTTTAATGATCCTGACCTTCTCACTCTAGAGGAGCAAGCTTCAATCTAATAAACAGGCCGTTCGGCACGCAGGCAGATACTGAAGGATGGAGGAAAGAGGTGATAAGTGTGATATCGTGATGCTGGAGGGAGGGGGGTTACACTGGAGACTTTTTTCCTCCCTCTTTCTGCCCCACTTTTTCCTCTGTCTACAAACAGAGCTTGCATTCTCCCTCTCGAAGTTTTTTTTTTTTCATTTTCCTCTCGTCCTGATGTGTTGGGTAGCATGCACTGTAGCACACAGCTGTGCCAAATGGAGAGGAAAGGAGGGCTGCCTACCTTATCTCTGCAGCCAGCAGGGGATAATGCTCTTCTTCTGCCCAGGATCTAGACCTTGTACTGCAGGCTGGGGTAGCCAAGATGGGGCTTTCATCCAAGGCCTGAGGATTTGCCCACTGCCCACTGTGTCCATGTGTGTGTACGTGTGCAGCCATGGTTGTTCATGCCTGCACATTTCATCTGTTTTGCTGTTGGAAACCATAGATTACTGAGTGGGAAGATTTCTCCCCATTGCTCTCTGACAATAGCTGCCACTGTGGGACTATGATTACTTTTTCATCCTCACTTTGTCTCTTTGACTCCCTGTATTTTCTCTCTCTTTCTCTGTGAAGACGTTCTCTCTCTTTTTCATTTTCTTGACACCTTTCATTTCGGCCTTCTTTAAAGTCTGGAAACCTGGATCGCAGGACCACAGCCGACTGCAGTTAGAATCATTACAAAGACAAGGAATCACTAATAAAGCACTCGACTAAAACACATGCAAATCGCGTTTAAGAAAGCTTTACCACCCATGCCTTAAACCCGTGAGTGTCACACTGAATGTCATAGCAGCACCGGCGTTAGAAAAACTGTTGGCCACTAGCCCAGTCTGAAAGCATGAACAGAGCCAAACACAGCTGTTCACAGGTTGTTGTGTGTATAGTTATTATATTTGTTTGCTGTAGCAGTCGGAGTCGTAACACAGCAAAGTTTCCGGTGCCCACTGAGAGCTTAGTCAACACAGTATGATGAATGACTCGCAGGGGAAATAAACATTATAGCTGTGCTGAATAATCTGCATATATTTCGCTTAATGAGTTAAGTTGCACGGAAGCAATCTTGCATCGTAATCTTCATGACGCTCAAACAAAAGGATCATAAATGCAGCAAATTACCAGATAAGATGTTAACCGTGGTTTGTCTGGTCACCTGAGGATCCCATGTGTAGATTTAACATGTTTTTTTTGTTTGTGTTATGCTTTTGCTATCAGATGACCAGGTCTTTACCCATCACGCCCCTGCCGCTCCTCCTCCTGCCCCGACGGCAGCAGCCCAGCCTCAGGCTGCAGCCTCCAGGTCTCTGCTTCCCAAAGCGAGCCAGTCGGGCCTGCGTCCCCCAGGCTACAGCTCCAGCCGCCTCCCCGCCGGCCGCCTGGCAGCTTTCGGCTTTGTCAGGAGCTCCAGCGTCTCCTCCGTCTCGTCCGCCCACTCTGCTGACAGCACACAGAGTGACCCCTGCAGGACAGCTCACCGTGAGTCAGCTCAGTGCAAAATCTGTTGACACCAGTCTCTACCCTTTTTTTTTTTTGCTTTATTTTCAGGAATATCTTTTTAACAATCTCCCTTTATTAATCTGTTAATTTCACCAGTGCGCTCACCACTACAGCACAAGTGCACTGTCATAATCATTATACTGTTTTTATTGCCCTCTTCTATGAATTCCCCTCATGAATATGGTTTGCATAAACAGCCCCCTCCCACATTCATTATGTTGCAGTTTGCCTTCGCTTTCTGAGCTCCTCCCTACTTACAGTTTCTCTCTGTATTTAAGTTCCGTGTGATTAACGGACGCAGAGCTTGAGAGGTCCATTTTCTACAGCACATAATAGTTGTTATTAACTGGGTGCTATGATTAGAAACAGTTTAAATGCATCCAAGTTTCAGCATGTGTTTGATCATGCTTAACCTAAATAATCAACTACAATCATTCAAAACATGACATTGGCGCTAATTGCTCGATTTGCTCGTGACTGAAGGGTGATGACTTTCCCACTGTTTACTGCAACAGTGATAATCCACTGATTCATACCTCCTCCAGCTCATCCTGTAACCACCTTCTCTTCTTAAATATATGTAAAAATAACACATGATGTCATTCCCCAGACTCATCAGTAATTTAACAGGCTCCTAACTAGGTCTGTGCTGCACATTCTGTCAGCGTTAGCAGAGATAACCCAATGCTTGACTTGCATCGCTGCCGACTGAACCGGGGGGCGAGAATTGCTTCGTTTTCACAGTTGCGGGAGGACTGCAAGTCTTTACAGCTGTGATCTCGATGCTGCTTGGCAGGCCGGTTGGTTAGTTGGCTGAATTTTGTGGTAGCTGCATGTGTATTTAATGTGACCTACATAGGGAACGCTTGCTCTTCCTCTCCCAGTTACAGTTGACGTAAGCACCTCCACTCTCACGCACGTCAGGCCCCCCCTGTTATGTCATCACTCCTTTCCCTCGTTCCCCCCCTTTTGTAGTCCTGCTTGATTTTTTTTTTTTTTATCCTTCTTATCTTTCTCCCATTGGTTGAAAATGAATGCAAACTGTGCGGTGTTGTGGGGGAGGCACCGTTTCAGCTGTTGTCAAGAAGGGAAAACAGGAATCCCTTGGGTCTCCTGAACAGAATGTGTTTATTTTTAAAATAAATGGCATAAATATAGAAGTTCCATCTTCTTACAAAGCTAGTCGTGTCTATTTCAGGCGCATACACTTGTTTTATAATCCCTTTTATCAGTGATTCCTCCATGGTTGGGCAAAAACATAGAAGAAATAGAAGAAAAATCACTGAGTGGAGCTCTAATTGGAAAAAATGTGTTGACGCACGAATGTGAAAATAAAGAGTTCATTTGCAAAAACTGATAACTCCATCTTTATAAAGCTTCAGAAAACCCACTTTTCCATCGTCTACCTGAGACAATATCAATCAAACTTAAGTTATCTCTATTTTATTCATGTCATTTCTACTGAGTCAAATCCACTCGACTTCAGTTTGATTGATATTATCTCAAGCAAACAACAAAAAAGAAGTTTTCTGAAAATCTACAAAAATGTTTTTGCAAATGAACTCTTCAAATATTAATTCTGTTGATAATTCATGGATTGTTTAGGTCATGTTTTAAGCAAATTTTCCGAGTATTTACAAGACCATCCATCCATTCGCAATGCTCTTTTTAACCTGTGGAGGGTCACAGGTCAGCAAAGAAAAGACAACCACGCACACTCAAAATAATACCTACAAGGAATTTAGAATTTTAAATATCATGCATGACTTTGGAGTGTGGGAGAAACCCATGCAGGCACAGAGAGAATATACAAACCCCCCAGCTGGCCAGCACATTCAAACCCAGAACCTTCTTGCTGAGAGGCACCACCATTTACAAATTCCAACCCCTTTAAATATGAATATTTGCTGTCTTTCTCTTGTTGTCATATTAGGCTGGATATCTTGGATTTTTTTAAACTTTGCATAATGTGATAAAAGAAGCAACATGAAGCTGACAACTTTTTGAAACTGTGATGTGAAATTTTGCATTGATCGATTTAAACAATCAGTCAAATCATAAAAAGCAGATTGGTTCAGTTGCTGGTTGTGTATCAGTAGCAAGATGCAAGGCCCCCGTTTTTCTAATCTTTTTAGTATTCTTTTTTAAGTATTCTAGTTCTTTTCTTTCCTACGTAAATCACCTACACATGTGACACACATTTCAACCACACTGGATTTTCCACCAACTTGAATTCTCAGCAAAACCTATTTTACAGTTTCCTCCTCCTTAATTGTAAACTTCTTACCTCCTACATAACTTTGCCAATTGCTCAAAGTGCCACCACTCTCCAGCGTTAAAGTAGATGTGAGAGAAGCATACAGCAGAACAGTGATGTGCTGAAACACTTTCACTGCATTTTGGTAGTTACATTTCACCAACTGCTCCTCAGAGTTTTATATGTAGATGTTTTTGTTTCTATATTCTCAACTCAGCTTTATTTATAAAGCACTTTAACGCAACAAAAGTTGAACCAAAGTGCTGAACACAAAATATAAAACAGTTTATATATTATATTGGTTAGTTGCTGGAGACAAATCCAACATAAACTTCAGTAATGAGTTTATTCCTGCCTTTCCTCCATATGATAGCTTCATCTGTTCTGTTCTTTTTCAAGCAAATGACCTCACGAATATTAATATCATGAATCAGTGTAATGAGATGAAGTCTCTGCTGCACCACTCTGGCTCAAAATCACAAGTTCATTTTCAGCAACACACATTGGACTTAATTTCGCTGTAACAAGTGCATCCACTCAATCATCAAAATAAGCATTCAGAGTGTACCGAACCGCTTTCTCGTCAGTGGCATTGTCTATTTAAAAATGCTGGCAATATGAATGTGCAGATTTGCTCCAGTAGCCTATCAACCCCCCAGTTCAACACTCCACGGGCAGTTTGACCACTTTATAAATATTACACATGTAAAAACACACACACACACTCTCACGCGCTCACAAAGCGCAGGGAGACCTGCCAACACAGCGCTGAAGACTAAAAGTTTTTTAAAGTAGCGCCTGTAGCAGAATGTTCCTCCTCCTGCTGTTGAAGCTTGCTGCTGCTGCTCAGAGCACAGTGGAACCAAAATGGAATCAAGGATGATAGACATGAGAGGGAAAAGATTAAGCGCCTTTGATGTTCATTTCGGTGTGTGTGTGTGTGTGTGTGTGTTTGTGTGTCAGACAGTGAGAGAGAGAGGCAGGAGGGGAAAGCAGGAACATTTACTTCCACTTTCGACTCTATGTGGCGCCTGTGACCTTTATCGGTGAGGCATTTGAACTCTTCGCTCGGCTTGAACCCTCCAGACTAAATTGGGCTTGACTGTAGATCCTTCTCTGTCTGGCTCCCGCTGTGTGAGCACTTGATGAGCTTTAAACAGAAGGTTGTCTGATGTCTTCTTTTTTTTCCCTTCCTGTCTAATCTTTCTTTAGGATATTGGGGAAACTTTTAAAGTCGTACCAGCGCTTGTCTCTTTTGGACCTGGATTGAGTTGTCACGCGTTTGACGCACTCAGATTGTTCCCTGCAACCATTGCTGTGTATGAGTTGTCAAACATTAGTCAGAGCCTGAACCTCAAAGTTTAACTGCTGCGTGATGTTGAGTTTTTTAAAATTTTTATAAAGCTGACAAAACAAGGATGACGTTTCCTTTAAAGTTGAGCCTTTCCCCGATTTAAATTTTAGATGTTGTCAATTTTACCTCAAAATAATTTTCATTTCCTTATATATCCCAAAGCACTGTGTGAAACATTTAAAATGTCAGAAATGTGTGTTTGCGATACCTGATTTCCCTCTTCTACCCTGGGATCTTTTGCCCCCCTCCCCCCCACTCGCTGCGCTCCAACTTGGATCAAAGAACAGACAGACTGACAGATGAGTTTTCACACATCCTTCCATCACGGATGTCAGGGGAGCCGCGGCAACCCGGTACCTATACTCGCGCAGAGAGAAGAAAGGCCAAGCTCAGTTGCTCGTTTTCCCCATTGATCAGCAAGCAAAACGGACTCCATTAGGGCTCTGGATGGTACAGATAGAAGGAATCATTAAGGAGTAGAGCAACGGGGTGGAAATGATTGCAAGGCTCTGGTAAAGTGGGTTACAGCCGAAAATCCCAAGAGTTTATGCTTCCCACTGTTGCAGTTCGTCAACCTGCTCTGATCGTGGGGTTATGGGTGCGTACGTGTGCATTGTGTGTATGTAAAAGAAATAAAGAAGTAAAGCAGCTGACAGCTTATTCTGTTCCATATTGTCAACACCATTCAACTGTATTGGAGAAAGAAAAGTTGTACTTTATATGAAAAAATTGGGGAAATAAAACAACAATTATTCGCATATTTTTGCAATTATTTGCAGCAAGCGATGATATCATGTGCATTTCTGTATTTAGAAACACCCACACATTAGGGTCACATTGAGTCAAACTGTAGAGTTGATTGATTCTTATCGTCTGTTTGCACAAGTGTGCGTGTGTTAGTCTTGCATAGAGGGGGGCTGTGGGATTATGACATTGATTAGCCATTAGCCCAATCCACGCTTCAGCCCAGGCGTTGACATAAGGTGCTTCATGAATGCGAGTGTGTGCGCATTACAGAGCATGGGTGCTCTCATGCATGTAAGATGCAGGGTGTGATTGACAGACTGTGTTACATAGCTGAGAGGAGAATCCAACAGGAGGAGGCCGATGAAGCCTGCATGTTTGAGCCACACTGACTCCATGATGGAAACTCAATCGCCAAAGCAAACAGTATCATCACCTCTGTCTTTCTTTTTTTCTCTCAAGGTGATAGTGTAATAAGGGGGGAAATCAAATAAAAAAAAGGGAGAACTAAGCAGACAGCTGAGGGAAGACGACGAAGAACCGAAAGGAGATGGAGCGTTACAACCAAATCCGATGAGTCAAAATGAGCAAAGGGGGAGAGAGGAAGGGAGAATGTGACAAGGGGAGGCAAAAAAAA